ATACTAAATAAATATTTAATTAACTAATTATTTAACACAAGACTCTTGATTTAATTTTGTAGAAACCGAAGACCCCGGGAGAGCTTACGGAAGGGGTGAGTGATTATTCGTAATCCTTTTGTTTATAACAAAGATCAGATTAAATACGAAGATTTAGAGCACATATCTCTAAATGACTGTTCATTTCGACATTTCAGGCGTTGGTTTCTTTGTCGGTGAGATATACGAGTGGACTGTCTATTGTGCATATTATTGACAAATATATTTAAAGGCGAGCCGTGTGTATCGACTTGCAATCAGATCCTATTTCACGTGACCTGTAACCTATCGACCCATGTATGCGAGTGCCTCAAAGAATATCCCGTGAATGTGAACAATAAAAATTGTCGCAAAGGTTTGCCCACAGAATGCTAGTGTTTCAAAATGCTTTTAAGACATGTCTATTTGATTTGCTGTAACCAAAAGCCCTTTACATCGGAGAGAGATGTGAGTTCACCGAAGAGTGCAGTTATTTCGACAAAAACACCGTCTGTTCCAGTGATGGCTACTGTCAGTGCTCTGAAGGTTTGCATTCATTTTCCACTCTTTTAACACATTTTTCGTAAACTCCAAATAATTGCTGTCTTTTCATATCATTTCGAGATTAATGCATTGGAGCGTTCATTTTAAGCTAATTAATTAAATGTCAGTATTTATTAATAGGATATAATTAAATGGATAAAAACATCTACTTTAAAAGTTATGCTTTCATACAAACCTTTAATTTTGAACACATTTTTGAGTTTCACTATAAATAGTTGAGTCAATTGAGAAGTTAAGTGACAAATAGTTAAGTACAGGGTTTGGAGTTAAGGAATAAGTGTACAGTCAGTGTAGTGTACAATCAATTTAGACATGAAATACAAAATGAATGCTTTCATTATTACGAGAGCATTGCTATGAGTGTTGTATTCTTAAGGGGTCGCGAAAAGGACCCGTTTGTGAGACTGAAAAACATTTACTACAAAAGATAATTTACTAGAAATGCGTGTTTCAT